ATAGATAGATAGATAGATAGATAGACAGATAGATAGATAGATAGATAGATAGATAGATAGATAGATAGATAGATAGATAGATAGATAGATAGATAGATAGAGAGAGAGAGAGAGAGATTTGCTTACCCAGTCTAGTATGAGCAAGTCGCCTCCTGATGTTGTAAGTCGAAGCCGCGTGGGGTCACCAAAATGGGCAGCGGCAAAGGTTCGATCGTACTCGGTCCTTTGATGTTGGGTATATGAGAAAAAAATCAAACATTCATTACGTATATGAAGGACACACTCTTGTGAAGAGGTTTACATGTATAAAAATGCAAAGCTAACTCATTCATGATAGTGTCACTAAATCATGTACACAATCAAGAAACTACGAGTTGATTTTATATAAGCACACGTCTAGGTAAATTTTCGCGCTTGAGAAAGACTAAACATCAGATCGAGACTACATAAAGCTGCTATGTACGGGCTACACGTATCAGGTTTGACGTACCCGTTTTCTGTAAGTCCGGATACAGCCGTTGTCGTGCAGACATCATTACAAACGTTAGAAAAGATTTCAACTGTCAAAGAATCAGCACTGCCAGAATAGGCATATGTAGCGGTGGTCCTGAGCGTTAGGCTGTGATCCACTGTTTGATAAAACAACATACAGTCAATCTGGTACGGCGACCACCGTTCTCGGTCCAGTTAAATTTAAAAATGGGAAAACTATTAAACAACTAGAAAGGCCCACATTTGCTTGGGAGCAAATACAGCATATTTCAGTCCATCTCCATATAAAATTCATGAGAAATGCTGTAAGCATTGTCTTAATGTGTTAAGCCAAGTATTACTGACTTAGCCATCTTTGTAACTATATAATTTATAGTGCTTACATGTGTGCCTTGCTATGGAAATGGCTATGGTACGTCTATATCAAGAAAATTTAGCCTTCAAAATTGTAGAATGTTTAGTCATATGTGTTAACTTGCAGCAGTGTTGCAATGTGTGGCGTCGGGTGGCGTAGTGCTAGAGCATTGACTATGAAACGGGGAGACCTGGGTTAGCCTGGGTGCCAGCCCCTACCGCGAGTGAGAGATAACCCCTCGGCCAGAGAAGCCACACGCCCCGCCGACCTCGATTTGCGCCCGCCTCTAATTAAGTCCTCGCGTCCGGCGTGAAAGATGAAGGTTTGGGGCAGCCTGGGGTTGGGCGGCGGATACAGTAGCGGACATAAGGGCTTCTTTCCACAAAAAAATCTATCACTTACTCGTATGAACGCCAGCGTCTGGCACCCAGGCTAGACCCGGGTCCGATACCGAGTTGTACCCGAGACATGTCTGGACATGCGCACCGACGTTGTGCCCTTGGGAAAGGCACTTAACACGACTTTCTTCACTCCACCCAGTTGTACGAGGTTACCTAACTTCGGTTGGGCAAAGTCATATTGAGGTCACCTGGTGACGCTGAATGGAAGCCACACAGACCTTTGCGAAATTTCCAAAAAAGTGTGTGGAGCAAGTATGCTATATGTATCATGTATATTATGTGATCGTAAACTCTGCATTAGTTCAGCGCTACAGAAGGCTGCGATTGCATGGTAATGTTTGATCAATAAACCATTTATTATTATCATTAAATTAACAAACAATATAAGTATGTTGAATCAGCTTTAACATAAAGATAGATACCTACACACACGCGCACGCACACACACACACACACATTCATGGATCATTAGATACATACCTGTGTTACGGTAGTCGACACAACCCACACAATTACAGTGATCTTCAGTGTTCCCACAAAAGTTGATCGAAGAGCAGCATGGGGCACTACTGTCAGGGTCACACTCAGCGGTCCTCCCATCTACTGTAGTGTAGCCTTGTCCACAGCGGTAATCATCGCGCAATTTCTGAGAAACTTTTAGAAAAAAGACAATAACAGAATTTTACAACCTCTTACTTTGCCCATATGATGTTTTATTTAGAAAATGGTTTGTCATTGATTATGAGGTACTTATTGATTATGATATCCTTATATGCATGAATTCTATCTATTTATGATCCTCTCTACTCAATGATCACAAGTTGTCCAACTTTGATAGTCTTAAGAAAGAAAAAGAAGGCTGCCGTATCATTTTCTCAAGTATCATGGAAATGAGGTAATCTTGATACGGAAATGATGCCATGCGCATTCTGGTTGTACACGTTTACAATATCATGGGTTGTCTTTAGGCCACAGCATGTAAATCTTATGAATGACATCCTCAGCAGCAAAAAAAAAAAACAAAGCGGGCCAAAAAAAGATTCGTACATGTTCGTACTTCTTGCGGGCTTATCAGTAAGAAGCATAAATAATCAAGGCATTCTATGATTTTGAGGTGGTAATGGCACATACCTTGGTCAATCCGACAGATGAATCCTCTCTTGGAACCGCACCTTATGTCTTTCCAGAGGGACTCAGGCGGCGTCACAAACGCGGCACAGTCTTGGTCGTAGTTGTTGGGTTGACCGGGGTTCCAGTTAGAATAACTCGATGACTGCAGGGTTTGCCCGTCCTCAAACACCCACTGGCCTTCGTTGCGGATATCTGTCAACCCAAGCCAGCGGTTTCCGTCACTAAAATCTGAGATGAAAGTGTTGGTGGCGCTGTCTTTCGGCATGGCCAACAGCGCCCCGTCTTCTGCACACCTCTGTCTAGCCTCGTTGTATTTCTTCTGCTCAGTGAAGTCCTTATAGCAAACTCCGTTGAAATTAACATAGCCTGATATAGGACATCCTATGGAAAATTATAAAAGAAGAGTATTTCCTGATCAATGAAAATATGTGTAGCCATTCGTTGGAGTTTAGGCGTACGTAGCGCCCAAGGTGGCTACAATCTCAGATGCCGACCTCTTCCAATGATTTTGACCTTTTTTACCTCTTTGGCTGGAGCAGTAACCTAGCCCGCAGACCAACTCTCAACCACAAACTACTTTTGTCACGACTGACTCCCAACCATGGTCAAGTATAGAGAATGTATGTTCGGGATCCCATGCATGATGTGCTGTGTGCAAGATGGGGGCTTTACCTGCACCGAAGACTTCCACCTCGCACACTGTCAGGACATCCGTCCGCTCCACCAGATGTACGGACACGTAATGACCGAGGAGGGGAGGGTAGCAGTCCACCGCGATGGTTTGCCCATCTGTAGGTGTGTCCGTGTAGGTCTCTCCACACTGGTCATTCTGGAGGTGGTTCTCGTTCATGCCAACACGCACCGCAAAGTTTTGCAGTCGTTCTCCTACAAAATATGAGCCAACAAACTGCAATAGGCCGAGTGGGAGTAACTACCTAGTCGTACGTTGCTTTTTCTGATGTTGAATTTTCAAGCAGGCTGTGATAGAACCGATCACTCGGAAAGACGGTAATTAACAAGACAGCTGAATTTTGTACGACACATGCTTGCGATCGTCCACCCAACACCCAACCAACTTACCACAGCAGTTCTGCCTGTTCAGGACGATGACCCGATGGACTGTGTAGATACCTCCCAGGTCCACCTTCCACCATGGCTGATACTCGCTAGCGGTATGTGTGCACCCAGCTGAAGAACCATCTACAGCCCTCTCGGGCCCCCAAGTCGAGTGGGTAGAACTTTGTGTTGCTGTCTTACCAAGGGCAATGTTAGTCTCTTGAAGACTTGCTACTGCTGGAAAACAACGATGGGACAATGCATATATGATTACATGTACTGTACTATGATTTAGTTAGAAAAATGTAATAATTCTTATTAGAATGATATAGCTAACAGCTCTACTTAATTTTTTAAACTATAAATCTACTTATACCAAGGATGTTATAGTATAAACTCCTTGTTAACTGAAGTTGGTGAGTGTTACGGCTTGTGCATTGCATCGTCATGTCTGGCATTTAAAAAAGTGAGAATTTGAAATAATTTGCCTTGCTCACTGGTTTTAGTTTTTTTCTAAAATCGTACAGTTAAGCTGGTATTGCTTTGTCCTGTAATTATAACATAATTCAATAGCTTATGCATGAATGGTTTTTCATGACACTTTGTTCGAGCAGGCTTTGCCCAGGCGTAACGGTGATGACAGCCGTGTACTGTCCTTCATATCACAATGTCCTAAGTGCATGCACAGACATATCTCTTGTGGGCAATCCATTACAGCAGCAATTACGACTTCAACAGAACTAATGTGTAAAGGCTCATCATGAATAATAGATGAGGCAACGAACGGGGAAGGCATCATAGAATAAAAATGAAATAGAAGATAATACCAGTAGTATCATTATTGTGAGCCATTCAAAAGGATAGCACTAACATTGAAACAACGGAAAAACTTTCTCGATGGAATTTATAGATGATTAAAGAAATATACGATATGTGGTCATTTTTGTCTTTTCTAAGATATTGGTGCTAAGAGTAATTGTCAATTAGTTCCCAGGGCCGCGCCCAGCACAATATTGCCTCCTATGCATGCAATGAACGATGATCATCCTAGATAGTGAGACATTGCTATGCGCACTGAAACCGGTCTAGCAGAGGATTTTCGGATGTGCTTCCGTTCCCTGCCAGTTCATTAAAGGTAGGCTAACGCACACACACACACACACACACACAAACGCACACACACACAAACATACACACACATACACACACGCACACACAGACGCACGCACATACACACACACACACAGAGACACACACACACGCACACACGCACACACACACACACACACACACACACACACAGACGCACACACACGCACACACACACACGCACACACACACACACACACACACACACACACACACACATACACACACACACACACACATACATACACACACACACGCGCGCAGCACACGCAGCACACACACACGCTCTCTCTCTCTCTCTCCCTCGCTCTCTCTCTCTCTCTTCCTCCCTACTTACCACTGCCATATGTTGAAACTGCGAGTACCCACAACGTAAACGCTGCGAACACAATCTTGTATCGACCTAATCTCGCGGACATGTTGTTCTGTAACAACACTGCTCTGCTGCTATTCATGGTTTTAAAAGGCCGTACTGTCCTGTTAGCACACCCAACATGGCATTTCTTCTTTCTGGTGCTGTCTTTGCTCCTGCCCCTGCCAGGTCTGATCAAAACATGTAGATACCAGTATTCTGGACCCACAACCGATCCTGTGCCGTTAGTCAGGGAAAACGACATTACTAGTTCCACCTCGTACACACTGCTTGATCCCAGTGAATACGATGTCGTGTATCTCCCTGGCCACACGCCAACACCCTGACAACCACGTCAACACTTTTCATCTTGTCTCGCCTGATTTATTTTATTTTCATTGTTCATTTTCTGAGCCAGATGCTCTATGATAGGGATAGAAGGACAGCGCATGTAGCACGCCAGTAAAAAGCTACATTCTGTAGATCCCTATTCGTATACTTGTGACTATATGTCATTCTATTATTAATGTCCGATTACCATAAGTACACATTTGGGCCGGATGAGCGCGAAAACGGTGTTTGGCCAAGGGTCAGCTTCGGGTCCTTTTTGTGACCAAGACGACAATGTGAGTTAACGGGTTGTGAAACAACCTTGGATGAATAATTTATCGCGGTCCTCTTAAGAAAAGGAGCCAATGTTCAATGTACCGTTATCACAGAGAAAATGAGTACACCGCTGCACCTTGATGTGTATAAATGGTCAAACAACAATAGTAGATGTGTTTTACAGAGAAAGCTGTTCCGTGCGGTAGAGCGATGGCCAGACTGTTGAAGTTGGACCTTCGTGGAACGGCCTGAGAACAAAAATGCTACCTGGTCACAGAGGCATGTCTAACCGGAATCGATTTGGCTCGGAAAATCATCATAATTACAGTTCTGAGCGCAGTAAAATTCATAATGGCTAGCTATATGGCAACATGACAACACCAGAACGATACTGCCCAGGGATACCTGAAAAGCATATCAATGGATCTGAGGTATGCCCTGGTAAAATAAATAAACTTGAAACTACACTTGAGAACGTAAGAACTCAAACATATCATTCACCCACATGTGCATGTACACATGCCCAATCCTGATTATATATCTATATATATATTTATTTGTCTGTTTTTTAATTACAACATCACAAGAGAAATGGTAAGGTTGAAGGACGTGTAAACTTGAATGAAGATAACATGCAAGATATAGCATTATGCCAAGATGGAATTACAATAATGTTTCTTACTCATATTCGTACTGATATATACAACTATTACATACGTAAGTAGAGAATTTATTCATTCATTTCAGTTAGGTGTTGATACGTTTTGGTGCCAACTTGACAAATCCATTGACAATATCGACATGAAGATATCCAAGACTGTTATGAGGATTAAATTGTCAAGGAACATGCTGAACATCTTGCATTCTATCATCCTAAATAGTAGAGAAGGAATCCGGCCACAAAGACAGTAAAACTGATTGGGAACAGGATTCTGGAGAAGAAGTCGATCCTGTTGGCGACAGTCTCGGAAGATGACGTTTCCTCCTCTTCTGCCCAGGCTGTGGAAGGTCCCGGGATCGGCCCAACTCTTCCCCTGTGGGTTCTGCGGAAGGAGAGCTGTTTGTGTGGGGAGAGAGAAGACCGTCGGTAAAATCAGTGAGATCAGCAAGCCAAGGCATATTCCTTTAGGGTGTTGCTTTAAGTAATGAATTTCAGGGAGATTCAACGATTACAGTTTCCACGTTCACATTCACATCAGACACGTTCAGTGTAAAAAACCAGAATCATTTAGCAAATCAGCTTGTTCAGTCATTTGATTTTATTGTACATGGACAACTACAGGTCATTTAGTAACGTACCATAAACAACTTTCCGCGGAGTATGGAGTTGACGGCAACTGTACTCAAACAAGCCAGAGTTGACGACGGTGATAACTCCGCGCATCCAGACATCTTCTGCACTTACAACTGTAATCTGCAAAGAGAAGCCACATGATAGTAGGCCGGCATCCCCACCCAAAAAGATCCAAACTAACTTTATGTTGTGTACACATTGGGTCAGGATGTCATGTCAATACGGCAAGCAGTCTTACCCCATGCTCCTTACAATTGCCGGCCATTGTGATGAGCGCCAGTATGGCCGTGACACAAAGCTGGACTCGTGCCGTGATGTCCCTGGGATGGAGCCTGAAGGACATCCAGGAACAGCCCACAATGACGACACTGGGGACGAACGTACGAAACACGTGACTCCATCTTCGACGAGAGAATCTCAGCTGGATCTCAAGTGTCGACAGTCCTGTAACATTGTGAAGTAAGAAGGTGCGCCCAGAGTGAGTCTTTGATGAATTTTGTTGGGTTTGGTTCGAGGTTCATCTGTTCCACTGTATTCATCCAGGAGTTAATTTCGGAAATAATGTTCTAATAGCTTCGGTTGCGTGGTGGGTGGGTGGTGATTTTGACAGTTGATTAAAAGGGAGGTCTCGCATGAAGGTGATCCTTTACGCGTCAGTGGGAGTAAGAGGGTGGTATGTAGAAGAATTTAGTAAGTGGTGTAATACCCGATCAAACCAAACATAGAATCCCCTTCATAGTTCCAATGCATTCACGAAAACCCAGAACACTTGTGAAGGTCTCGACAACAGAAAATGCTTTTCTTTCCGGAAGTCTTAAAATCTCCGCTCTTTTGTTTGATAAAAAAAATGCCCGAACTATGAGCAGAGCGTCAATGATGAATGACGGAGCAATGTCAACATGAATGGATGCAGATTAAGAAACTAACAATATCGAACGTATAACCAGGTTTTTAGCTGGTCAATAACTGTATGTGATACGAGTACTCCTATCATTCAAGGATGCATCATCCCCAAGTGTTCTGAAGTGGCGAACAAATTTAATTCTCACCCGCTGAGGTGTTGGAACATTGGTCCGCGGCGCTCATGTAGCTGCACGTTCCCACCAAGTTTTTACACCAGTAACATTCGTCACCGTCCAAAGTTTCAGTACAACCTTTCATCAGCGGACAGTGGTTTGCAGGGAAGGTACAGTTGGCTTCGAACATGTCACAACCTGCACATGGTGGACAACAGGACAATGCAACATTATATGCAATGGGATGGATGGATGGATGGATGGATGGATGGATGGATGGATGGATGGATGGATGGATGGATGGATGGATGGATGGATGGATGGATGGATGAAATGTATCACATGGGAACAAACTCACAAGTCATAATCTTTTTCTAATCGTGCTTGACATCGGAGTGTGTAATACCTGTAGCTGGATGAAACAAATCCTGGTTGAGTGGCGTAACTCTTGACCTGAGTTTCAGTCCTGTCATCTCGAACTGTGACGTCACTGCCGTCATGTCCACGTGGACAGGTTGTGCTTTGTTGTACTTGGACGGCTGACGGAAGGGGAAGACGAGACCACCGTCTAGATAGAGAGTAAATTTATGAAAATTTAACAAAAACGGAAAAGTAAGCACCAGGGCCTGGAATCTATTCTTGTTCTAGTATGTGCAAATTCAAGATGCGCCTAGTAGCTTCTGGAATGAAGACAACAACTTAATCATGCTATATAGAAGTGACAGTTACCAGGCAGAGGACGCTTTGAGTCATAGGCTTTGTTCATAACCTCTCTCCAAGCAGTTTTCGACTTCGGACTTCAGGTTAATCTAATACATAAATTAAGAAGGCATAAAGTCAGAATCAGGTGTCTGCAAGTCAGGAAGAATGGAGAAATTACTTACATCCGTGGAGATCAATACTGCACTCATAGTCGTCAAATGGGTATTTGTCTAGAGTACTCGACGGACAAATCAATTCCAGCTTTCTCCTGAGATAAGAGAAGTTTAAATGGCGTCAATGCTGTTCGCAGACCCAGTCTTTTAAAACATGAATGTTTCTCAAAATAGTTCATTGTGCCATCAAGTAATAATAATACATGTAATTCATGTATTTGTCAATAACTCTACTTACGTAAATTTATAGAACATGATCCCTTGTCGCTGAAGCCACATGTTTATTGTGCTGTTCCTTTTGCCGTCATCATTGATGTGCGCGACCCTCCGCACGGTTCTTCCGAAGGCGACTGGGGGCACCCATAGGAGGGTAGTGGATACCGGAGTCACCTGACTTGTCAGCTCTGCAAGCCGATTGTCAACCCAGGCCCATGGAGTATTCAATCGTCACTGTC